TAGACAACTATGAGTTATAGTTGAGAATACTGTACTGCAAAGTTTATTGACAGTGTGGGGAGATACATTTACATTGCAATGCTTTATCTGAGTGGGCGCAATAAAATAAAAATAAATGAAATAACGGGTAAAAGTGCTGTTGTTCTTGGCAGTGAATGTGCAAAAGTGCCAGCACAGCCAGAAAGTAAAAGCAGAACGACAGGTGATGAGGCAGTCCTGCGTGTTTGGATGTTGGAAAGGCAAAGCGGAGGCAGGACTGTGGGAGCAGAGACTTAGTCAGATTCCACAAGTGCAAGATGAATCTTGTCTAGCGAACTGTGAAGATCGGAAAAAAAGCTGACTTTAACTGAATAAATGGTTGAGGGTGAGAAGTCCAAGCATGTTTATTCAGACACAGTGAGTGTGGAGAGCTTAATAAGGACATACTTTCACACCATCACAATCTGCCTGTGAAGCTACCCAGAGTTCCAACAATTAGCGCTGATCCCGTGAGGCACAAAAGTGCAGACAAACTTTCGCTATTTTTGACATTTCTCTCTATAGAGATAAGCATAAATGTTCTCTTTTATATATCTAAACCAAAGGTTTTGTGTATCTTGCAAGTAATGTATGATATATAACAGTTTGATCGTTTTTGTTCAATTCCGTCAGCAATTTTCTGATCCTCAGTGGAATTTATTATTATATAATGCTCTTTTGACTATTAAATGTGTTTATATAAGCACCTGAGGGGCAGTAGGTTGTGTCTTAGATTCAGCTCAGCTATTATTCAAGTCAGCCTAATGGATTTGTCTCAAATGCCAGACAAATAAGTTCTTATAATTTTCACTATTATAGTGTCAAGTATCATGGCACAATGTTAATACCTCCGCACAGGATGAACGTGCTGGATTGTATTGCATGGTGAAATGTATGGTAATAAATAGAGCTGGAATGGCACCGTCATTAATCAGAAGTAGCACAGTAGACCAGCCTCAGCGGAGAGAGATGAAGTACTTTGTAAGTAATGGAGGAGCTGCCAGTGGGGAAGATGGGAGGCTTTCAAGCCAGCCTTCCCCACATAGTCAGCAAAGATCAACAGCAAAGCAGGCAAAGTGCGACTGTAAGGGAAACAATTTCACTGAATTTACACCAGAGAAAAGCATTCATTCACAAATATACTTTCACAAAAAATGAACTGATGTTCAATTAAATTGAACAAAATAATTATTTGAGCAAAAGCCTGAAATACATTTTAGATTTCAACTGCTAAACAGAATTAAAATTATTTATAAAATTAAAATATAAAAATAAAATAACATTTTAGATTTCAACAGCTAAATATGATGAGCTAAAACTTGCAGAAAAACTGACAGATGCAGTTTGATGGAAGATATTTAGTCAGATTTTTAAAAATAAAATAATACAATTTTATTAAATATAAATGAAATAAAAAAACTTGCAATAAAAATAACAATAAAATTAAAAATAAATGTAAAAAAAATGAATAAAATATTAGATTTTAACTGCTAAATCACTCAGTTCTGAAAATATGGCTAATACAGTTTATTGGGAGATTTTTTGAATAAAAAAATTAAATTAAAATAAATTAATAAAATAAAATAAAAATAAATACACACTAGTATGTACTAATCTAATAGACATGGCCTCAAAGTCACAAAACTTCTGTTGCTCTTCTCTTGAGTCCATGGGGTGTTTCAGGAGTAAAATGATCAGTCTTTGGGTCACCAGGACTAAAATCATCCTGAATAAAATTACTGTTCTCACTGGCACACTTATCATCAAATATCCTCTTTGAGACCACCGTCTCACACTCCAAATAACCATGAATAACCATGGTAGATAAAACAACAAAGAAGAGACATTCATCTCTCTGAATATAATATTGTGAGATGTGTTTGTCCTGCATACTCACGGACACAATCTTGCTCTCCTGGACGGGTGTTGTCCAAATACCACTTGATGAATGTGAAAAGGAGACACTTGCAGAGCACTTGCCTGCCACAAATTCAGATAAGAGTGGTGAGGAATGGAGAAACGAAATAAAAGAGGAATATTTTCCAATATACCCTCCATTTTTTAATCAATAATGTACACCATCACACACAAGCATCCACAAATGGCCACCAAAAACATAAAAAAATTCACTGATTTTGTGTGTGTGTGGGGGGGGGGAGGTATGTTTTATTTATTTTTATTATCTATTTATCTATCTATAATTTTATTATAATTTTTTTTAAACATCTTTTGTTGGGGGTTTATGTATATACTGTACACACACACACATATACCCACACATATAGACAATTTCTTATTATTATCAATATATATATATATACACTGAACAAAATTATAAACTTTTGTTTTTGCCCCCATTTTTCATGAGCTGAATTCAAAGATCTAAGACTTTTTCTATGTACACAAAAGGCCTATTTCTCTCAAATATTGTTCACAAATCTGTCTAAATCTGTGTTAGTGAGCACTTCTCCTTTGCCGAGATAATCCATCCACCTCACAGGTGTGGCATATCAAGATGCTGATTAGACAGCATGATTATTGCACAGGTGTGCCTTAGGCTGGCCACAATAAAAGGCCACTCTAAAATGTGCAGTGCTCACTAACACAGATTTAGATAGGTTTGTGAACAATATTTGAGAGAAATAGACCTTTTGTGTACATAGAAAAAGTCTTAGATCTTTGAGTTCAGCTCATGAAAAATAGGGGCAAAAACAAAAGTGTTGCGTTTATAATTTTGTTCGGTGTATATATATATATTTTTTTTTATTATTTTATATTATTTTTTATTTATTTTTATTAATTAAGTAATTAATTTTTTATTTAATTTATTTTAGTTTATTTAGTTTATTCTGAAACTTCTGTCAATTGTGAATAATTTAATCTTGTAAAATAAAAGTATTTATGTTACATATGTCCTTCAATTATTACATAATGATACTTCTCATTGGTCATTTTTCTGAGGTAAAACAACTTTACAACAGAGGTACAATATGATTTTAATACCATTACTTGTTAAAACTAACATTTTAATTATACAGAAAAGTTCATTTATCTACATTCTAATGTTCATTTTTATTCATTCATTGAACTTAAACATGAAAAAGTAATGAGCTGCCATCAAAGAAAAGTCTGCCCGGTGGTTGTCGTTAAGATACAAAGCCGAATTGTGATTTCCCCCCTCTTTCCCAATGCGGTGCTTTTTTTTTTTTTTTATCATGCTGCTCCGACATCACTTTCTGTCAGGCTGAGTAAGTGAGCTCATAAGAATCTGCCTCAGGGGATAAAATCATCCATGGACAAAGCTGTAAAACCACAGATTAAATGCGTCACCAAATCCCTCCTGATTACTGTTTGTCATTAAATACTACATCTGTAACAGGTCCGCCAGAGCTATTACGAAGCTGAAGGTAACGGTGATGATTAGACAATGGAGATGTGTGACATGACGGTCAGTGTCAAATGGTCTGGGCCAAAGAAGATGAGTTACAGGCCCTGAGTTGCTTTGGTAAAGTTTCAGCGAATTATATTCAGGTGGAGGAGGATAGTGGAGCAGGATGAGAGGTGTAGAGATGAGACAGGAGTGACAGATAAAGGGGGCGCGATGCAGAAAGATGAATGGCTGTCTACAAAGCACTTTGGGAGAGGGATAATATGGTTGAGACGGACTCGGTCTCATTTTTCATGCTTAGGGAAAACAGCAGCAATACTTCTTCCTCTTTCTCAATCCCTCTGTATTTTTACACCCATCTGACTTTGCGGTACATGACTCCCCAGTCGCTGCATCAATTAAAGGTGTCATTCACTGAAAATAGAGCATAACTTGGTATGAATTCACTGCATGTGTGTCACGCTTTTGTCAGAGCATCTATTTATGAGTCATCCTACAGCTCATCTAGCTGACAAAAACCCACATTAGTTATCACCGTAACATCGCAAGTCCTGGGTTTGTAAGATAGCATTCAGAATCGCTTTTGTCAGAGCATCTATTTATGAGTCATCCTACAGCTCATCTAGCTGACAAAAACCCACATTAGTTATCGCCGTAACATCGCAAGTCCTGGGTTTGTAAGATAGCATTCAGAATCAGATGAGTCTAAACAGCGTGGGGTTCATTCCGACATCTTATTCACTAAACAGGCAATATCGGCGTAAAATCTGTGGAAGTCGCTGCGATTCTATACAGCACAAATACACCTCTTTTTATGTAAATTAGGCTTATTATTTATAGATTGTGGCTTATTTACAAAAATCAGCACTATACCGCCCACAGACCGCAGGAGGTAAACAGAATTTTATTAAAAAGAGAGGTTTGTTTGCATTTTATGGCAGCAGTAATTCATCAAATAAAGCTCAAATGATGGGAAGAGTGCAATAACCAGGCATACACCCAGAAGTGCCTTGAAAAACACAAATTTTTGGCCTTTTAAAATGGGTCGCAGTGGGTGCTACAGTTCCAGTAAAGCATGCCAGATTGTGATAGTCTGCTGCATTCTCCATACCTGTGCAATAGTAATTAAAAAAATACACATTTTTGGAAGCACGTTTGCTTTGTTGCCTAGATTTGCATAATTCCTTTAGTGGATTAGGCAGTAAAACAATGCACAGCATGCAAATAAACTATCAGTGGGCACACTTCATTCTCAGCGAATTCCTCCCTGTATTTTAAAGCAAATTAATCCATACATTTAGACAGGATTCAAAATAGATGGATGAAAATTTTCAAGGTTGAATTGAACCTGGATGAATTTAATTGGTTTTGATGGTATCCGGTGCTACTTTCTCATTACTTTGCCTGGACTTTCTGTAGTAATCATCACTTCCTCCAGCTGCTTTCTCAACATTGAGTTTCAGCCTTATAATGTACTTAGATCACAGCACAGACGGGCACACTTCATTCTCAGCGAATTCCTCCCTGTATTTTAAAGCAAATTAATCCATACATTTAGACAGGATTCAAAAAATTTTCAAGGTTGAATTGAACCTGGATGAATTTAATTGGTTTTGATGGTATCCGGTGCTACTTTCTCATTACTTTGCCTGGACTTTCTGTAGTAATCATCACTTCCTCCAGCTGCTTTCTCAACATTGAGTTTCAGCCTTATAATGTACTTAGATCACAGCACAGATAAAGGCCACAAGGGCTTGGGGGTTTTATTGCTTGATGAAATGAAAAACTGAGGCCTTTTCCCACTTGACTGACCAACACCTCCCCAATTTCCCCCACCACACCAATCCCACACACACACTATCTCCTCATGCCAACGAGATCCCACTTTCCTGCTTTTTCTTCCTTTCAGAAACTTTAGAGGTTAAAGGGGTCACTTCTCCCAGCTCATTTCTCAGCAACCATGTGCTTCCAATTGAATCTGGTCAAACCTGCGAAAAAGAGAGAGAGATAGAGATAGGAGCTGCGTTCCAATTCACAGGGTCCCTACGTGGTGTTCAGATATCTGAAGATGTTCACCTGCAACATAACGAAATAACAGCTGAGTCATGCACATAATGAGTTTTGGATATGATGACAGGATATGGAAATTAATTTTTGTGTATAATACTGGTGGGTAAAGTTCCCTCTCCACTGATAATGGGTATTATTTAAAATGTTGTATTAAGTACTGATGAATGTATTATTATGAATGGATTATGTGTTATTACTGTATATATAAAATTTATATTGTTATGTTTATTTATTAACCCAAAATCTGCATGACTCAACTGTTATTTCATGACAGTGTAGACTGTTCCAAATGAACACATTTTATTTATTAACAGCTGAGTCACACAGATTACAAGTTTTGCAGTACTGTAAAATTGCAATATCTAAAAGAGAAGTTTTGGCTAATTTATAATGTGTGCATATTCTTAACTCTCACCAATGGCTGCACTAATGAAATTTCATCACATTTATGTTAGCAAAACTTTATATACGTCAATAGTGGGTAAATTTCCCACTCCACTAACGTATTATATATGGTATGATTTAATATACTGTTTCAAAACATATTGTAATATTTATATTGTACATTTATATTAATTTATTAGGTAGGCTATGTGATATCATGAAATACACAAAATTCACCTCTACGTGACGACAGTTATTTCATGACTTTTTTCAGACTGTTCTTTTCAACAAATTTAACCAAATACCGCAAATATCTCAGTTTTAAGTGAAATGTCAGATCACTTCCATATCTAAAGTCCCCTCTGTACTGAACACATACACTTCATATGAGTTGGAATCTAAATTAATACACATAGATCAGAATTGCATCTGGAGAGCATTTAGAATGTTAAGGACCCGCTGACAGGAATCCCTCTCTATGCTTTAATTAATTTTTAGTGTAAAGGCTGTCAATGATTAAAGTGATCATTTCTGCTGGCGAGGGCTTTAATCAGTATAATGGTTCATTAATGGCTAGATCCCATCTGCCCACTGCTTATGCTGGCAATAACCTTCACATAAACCTTTAAACATAGCTGCTTTGTATACAACACGTCCTTGAATCACACCAAATGCCCAACTTCTCAAATTTATGATTGTTAGAAAAAGTTCAAGGCCATTAATTTCAAACTACCTTCTGTTTACAACATATTCAATCCTTTTGGTAAAAGAACAGCTTGTTAAAATTCTGTGATGCATTATGAATACTATGCATTCCATTCGAGTCTGCTTTTACACTGGTCGATAAGCAATACATTTAGAAATACATACACACGTTGAATGAGTAGCCAGCGATGCCTGAAGCTCTGGGTGAAATCCTTGCACCTTTCAGATATTGATTTCCCAAGAACAACAGGCTTTGGAGCATGATAGGTGAGCGCTGGAGTCCTGCATTAATCATAAATTCAGAGGTAAAGTTAATGCAATGCAGAACTTCAAAAAAAAAATTCTAGTCTGACAGAACATAATGCACTCCAGAACATCTCATCTCCAGTGTTTAATAAAAACAAATGAGATGTTGCTGCTAGTAATCTAAACCTGTCTAAAATGCAAATACAGTGTCATGAGGGGGTTTAATTTCAGAAAGGCCTGCATTCTGCTCCACGAAATGTTTCCTTCCATAATGCCATCATTCCATGTAACGTGAAGAGACACACATTTGTGCCGAATGCCATGGCCTCGTATTGTAGGACAGTGTCATTGTGACAACACCGGACTATTCGGAGCCCTTACATGGCACTGTAACCCTAGCCAATTAAAAATCCCATTTCATCCTCAATAACGCTTTATTCTGGATGGGTGAACGCTGCCTCCTCTGGTTTACACTGTCTATGGAGTAGGTGCATACTGACTGTTCAAATGAGGCTTGAGTTCTTCTATCTGAGCTGGCCAGCTGGGTAAAGAGAACGCAGAAGCGATTATCTTCAGCTAAAGTTAATGGAACCAACATAGCAGAACAGGGAATACTCCGTGTGGGAATTAGGACGACAGTTGAGTTTAAACATAGTTAACCTTTAACAGTTTTGTGAGCCGAGATGTCTCATTCAGTTAGTAACACAAAAACATGCATCAGTGTTGAACCTGAAGTGGTTTTTATGTTAAAATACGGTTGCCTTTCATACAAAAATCAACAAAGTTATCCATCTAAAATTATTTGGGGCCCTTAAAACTGCTTTATGCCTGTATGTTGTGCCATTGACTTAAGAAGTATTACTATCTATTCATAATAGTGTGTCCATGTGTGTGTGTATGAATGACCGTTCAAATGTTCAGTAAGTTTTTTTTTTGTTTTTTTTAAAGAAATTGATTTCAGCATATTGAAATTGATAGTCAGCAAGGATGCATTAAATTGATCAAAATGACAGAAAAGACTAATTGTTACAAGAAAAAAATAAACAAATAAATGCTGTTCTTTTGATTTTTCTATTCATTAAATTATTCTGTCTGGTTATTTTAAGCAGTACATCTGTTTTCAAAATTGATAGTAATAAGAAATATTTTTGAGCACCAAATTAGCATATTAAAATTATTTCTGAAGGATCATGTCACACTGAAAACTGGAGTAATGACTGCTAAAAATTCAGCTTTTCCATCACAGGAATAAATTACATTTTAAAATATATTAAAGTAGAAAACTGTTATTTTAAATTGTAACAATATTTCTGTTTTTATTTGTAGTTTTGCTCAAATAAAGGCAGCTAAGCGAGCACAAGAGACTTATTTTAAAAGCATTTATTTTTAAAAGCATACTTTTAGAAGTTACACAAGTTGCACCAAAATACCATTTTGATTTCATAGTGTCTTTAAATTGCTAGACTTGAAATGCATTTGCTATTTTTCAAAATACAGTAGGAAAACTGATTTAGCCATCTAGTAATTATCTGTATCTCAGAATAGAAGTAAAAGCTTAGGTGGACCAAAGAACACAATCCAGGGAAATTATCTCTTAGGAGGGCTTTGAGTCATGAAAAGAGCAAACCTGCTGAGCAATCACAGCATGGGAGGCCTCGCACATGGCTTTCATTAAACGGCACGCGCTCGTATATTAAGAGACCTCTGGACCGTCTACGCTGAAGGCACAAACCTGCTGAGCACAAAAAGCATCTCAATCAATACTCTCCTCAGAAATGCCTCCTCTAGATTTTCAGCTGAATGTCTGCTAAAGTGTTTTTACCTAACTAATGGATTTTTCCCAGTTCTGGCAGTCGTAATCACTACGCAGATTGGTAACAACATAATTTATATCTCATTATACTGTGTTTCAAATGCTACTCATTAATCACAAAGCTATTCAAGTGAGAAGCAAGGATGAACTCCTAGATTTTTAGCTTAGATTTGTTAAATGTAGCAGAATCTCTTTTTGTATTTTCTACTCGTTCCACTATCACCACAAAGAGAAATAATTCTGCTCTCTCTAGGATCCGTGGCTTGAGATCCGTTAATACCTGAGTCAGGAAAACCCCTACACAGGAACAAAGCTTCCCTCTCCAGCCTTCTGTTTCAACACAACATAATCCAAGTGGGTGGATGAATCTTGCTTCGAGCGCTTGTCTATTGTGAGACGGCTAAGTTATATATTTTTTTGTACCATTGTTCTGATCCAATCTGTGCCAAAAACATGAAATGATGTGAGGGAAATGCAGAAATACAGCATTGATTGGCTTAGTACAAAGGATGCAGTTTACGGCTCCAACAAAAGCTTCAGTGACGCGGCGCTTTATAAGAGAAACAATGCAAAACGGCAGTGTGTTGAGTTCACACACTTAAGTGGGAGTTCAAAATCATGAGATCTTACAGAGTTTGGCACATAAAACACAGAAACACATTCTAGTAAAACAAAACACCAGTTCCTTGAGAGACAATTCTCTCAATATAAATAGAAAATAATACAATAGATGGATTGTTCTGAGCATAGAAAGTGTAAAATGCAATTATCACCTTACAACTGATATTTTTGTAGTTTATTACTAGCCTGGCAATAGCCTGTTTTTCTGTTCTTTTGCACAAATCCTGCTGTGAAGAATAAGGATTTTTGGAAAGTTAGAAATGCATGGCAGGTTGCTGACAGAATGCCATTTGATCCTGGCATATGACGGTATTCCTTAGAGAGAGGAATACGGACGACAGAGTAGTGGAGCCAGAGACAGATGAGTCTTTTGAGGGGTCTCGCCTCCCACTTTCACATGAGGTGGGGGTGAGTTTTGTGAGCGCACACACATGGCTGTGTGTTATTGATCTAATATGATGCTCAACCCACTCACAACAGGAAATGGAACTGTATGCCACTCTGCTGGGTCACAAATAATAAGCCAAAAAACGTGTTGATGTTTCTGCTAATATATTGCAGCAATAATAATTTGCATCGAATGAGGCTGGATAACTGTAATGTGTGACGGAACATTATTATGAATGCGCGAGGAGCAGAAACACAATCTTAATAATTCACCATAGTGTGCATATTAGTAACTAGAAATACATCTCATTCTTCACAGACATGCTATAGCTGATGGTATCATCAATCTTCATATCTGGCTCTGCTTGGAGATCTTAATTAAAATTCACAGCCTCACTGTTGAGTTTGAAAAATACAGATTTTGGAACAAGGATTTTAGGATTAAATCAAAATCAAAAATGGAAACGTGGTTCTCTGCGAGGTGAGTGTGATAGTACTTATCTACAGTCGCTGTCACTGTGGAGCGCGAATTAAACCTTTTTTCTCTGCTGAGCAAGGGACATTTTCACTTTTCCTTGAAACTTGTGCTAGAAAATGCTGATGTTTTTCTACAAAACAGGGCGTTCTTGCTGTTTTTTATACTACAGAAACATCAGCTCTGTTCCAAAACCTAATGAGCTGCCTCGCTACCTGACAGCATCTTATCTGAAATGGAAGCTCATTTGAAACGCGCTGCATAGCATGAATCATTCAAATAGTGCACAATGTAAGCCAGAGACAGCCACAGCAAAAGCAATGCACTCCAACTCCTGAACGATCGAGTCTTATGAGTTAGTCTTTGCTAATGAATCAAAAGCATACAGCACAACCAGTGTAGTCTGATTCCCAAAAGAATGATTCTAATGAATCAGTACTTTTTATTGAATCAAACACATACACGGAGACCAGCAGTCTGATTCATTTAAGTGAATCAAAAACACTGCTACTTAACCAGTGTAATCCAATTTCCAAAGGAATGACTGTAATGAATCAGTTCTTTTTAGGCAACACATAATGTGGGACAAAACACAAACAGATTCAAACTTACAACTGCAAACACACCAAAAATGATAAATATAGTGATAACTATAAAAATAAAGTTAAAATTGATGTAAATTTAAAAGAAAAGCAGAGTCCAGACTACAATTAAAACAACAGAGAAAAACCAAATCTCTGGAATTGCAGTGCAATTGAACATAACTGAAGTGGGCGTTTAGAATAAAAATAATGTTATTGTTTGTTGGTGTGGACACTAATATGGTTATCATTATGGTTATTGTTATATAGTAGATATCATTCTTGGTGTGAATAGGGCTTAAAGAGATAGTTCACTCAAAAAAAAAATCTGCGATTAGCTGCATTTAAACATAATTTTACATTTAAGTTGTTCCCAAAATGTATGAATTTCTTTCTTCTGCTGAACACAAACAAAGATATTTTGAAGAATGTGGGTAACCAAACAGTTTTCAATTTCATAGTATAAAAAAATAAAATTGTATTTTGGGGGAGGGGGATTATCCCTTTAAGTCTCAAATTAGTAGTCACTAGTTGTTCGCATTCCAATGTGTAGCTAAAGAAACACACTGTTCATTTTGTAGTATTTTATAAAGTAATTGTTTTATAAACAAATTATTAAATTTTTATATTGAGGCCAATTATTTTGCCTCTGAAAAACATGAAAAAACACTAATCTCATAATGTGATAATTCAAAAACTGAATTGCGTTTTGATTTTCCAATTTTTTATTCCTACTAAAAGATTCAAACATGGAATCGTTAAGTAATAGAAACCCTTTAAAAGCAATCAGAACTGGAATTGTTCAGTTATTCACAATTTCCACTCTAAAGTTGTGAAGTCTGAATTTGGATGACTATCCCTTTAAAGGAAAATAGTTTTATTTGAACACTAACTAGTGCACTTCAGAGTGCCGTCAATGGGCACCATGCAGCACAGAAAACAAACAAACTGAATTTCAGCCTCAATTGCTGGTGTATCAACATGATCACTGCACTCTCAACTGTTCACAGCTGCTGGGACACAGAATTTCCATAATGCTTTACACCACTACTTCTATTATCAGGACGCTCCCAGAGAAACATTTGAAATTGAGAATGAGGTTTCAGAGCTAATGGTTTCGAAATGCCGAGATTCTTGTGCAAATTTAATGAGCATGTGC